ACTGAGCCACCCAGGTGCCCCAATTACCTACATTTTAGAAACAGAGACTCAGAGATATAGTGTTATTTGCCCAAGGTCATAGAGCATTAGTCTTAACTAACCCTTTGACCTGGTAATTGCACTGATAGGTGTTCAGAGATAATAACTCAAAAGCTTTTTCTTTGCAGACACTCCTTACAAGTGTTATTTTTATAATGAAAAGTTGGAAACACCATAGACATCCAACTTACAGTCTCTCTCTCCTATTCCCTCCACCTCCCAGCTGATGGAATATTACGTAGTTATGAAAATGGTTATTATGAAGACTGATATAAAATGAAAAAATCATTTTTCTATAATCTCCAGTTGACAGAGCAGGATACAAAATGTATAAAAATTGTATAGTATCACATCAGTACTTGGCACATTGTAGGCATGCAGTAAATATATGTTCAGTGAATGAATGATCATCACTGGCATGAATCTTAGAGAGTTACTATATGGAGAAAAGGAAACATATCAAAAATTATTAGTGTTTGCCTTGATGTGGTAGGACTGAGAGTGATTTTTATTCTATGCTTTCTACTTTCATTTTTGACCCTATATTCCCTATAGTGATTACATTGGACTTCTTGGAAAAAATAACTTCCATTAAAATTTTTTGAACTTGAATCAAAGAAGACAGGTATAGATTGGGTACTTGCGGTGGGCCAGCCACTCTGCTAAGGACTTTACTTAGGTAACATTCCTGACTTTCCCCCAATTCTCTAAAGTAGATGTTATTTTCCCCATTGTGTAGATGAGAATACTGAGGCATGCAGAGGTTGAGTTACTTACTCAGGCTCTTATAGTTAGTAAGTAGGTGAGCCAGGACTAAAATCCAGGTCTGGCTCCAAATTCTATTGTCTTTGTAACCCCTTTTCTAAGTCAGCCTGATGTCTAGATGAGGTTTTTTTTCAGAGCCTTTTGCCATTTATATCAAATAGGGTCTATAGCAAAGCTGGGGTTGAAACAGCTTGTCTTTAGATTAAAAGTATAGCATTTCCAATGTGGGTAAGGTCTTTGATGCCCTCGTGCTCTAATTGCTTTCAGAATTTGGTAATGCGGCCGCTACTGCAGCAGAAAACCCAGGTGCCACCACGATAAGTATCGAGGGTCCTGGTGAAAGCCCGACGCATCAAGCAGGACTCCCAAGAGGCTCCGGGGGAGAAGAGGATGATGAGTTGCTGGGAAACGATGACTCTGACAAAACTGAGGTTCGAACTTGTCTTTGATTTGTCCTTTTAATTTTTTTAAAAGCTTCTTCATGCATTTATTCACTGTCTCCCGTGTGCCACGAAGAGTGCCAGGCAGTGGCAGCCCAAAGGTGGATCACACATGGCCTCTGCCTTGGGGGGAGACAGATCGGCACGCAGGCCATTGTTACCCACAGGGAGCGTGCTGGTGGAGGGGACACCGGGGTTGTGGGGGCAGAGTGGGGGCATTGTGCAGGTAGTGACACTTGAACTGAGTCCTGGCACAAGGGTAGGAGGTGGCCAAGGGAAGAAGGCAGGGAAGGGTGATCTAGGCAAAGGGAACCGTTTCAGCAAAGCCAAAGCGGCACGAAAGAACGTGGCACACACAGCATGTTTCCCATCTTCACGTACATTAGAGCAAAATACAGGTGAAGACAGGAGGTGAGGCTACACGGCTCGGCAAGGACTCAACCAAATGAGTAGGAATTGTGCTCTGAAAGCTATCGGGAGCTACTGAAAGATTTTAGATGATATTTAGCCAGAGAGTTTAAAGATAAAGGTATGGTGGCCTTGTGGGGTAAAAACTGGAAGGAGCAGAGGCCAGTGGGAGACCGTGGCAGTGGTCTGGGCTAGAAGCCCGAACCACAGCCGGACACAGGTGGTTAGGGGGTGGGCTCAGTTGGGCTTTGTGGAGAAGGGGTGAGGGATAGAGAGCAAAGATTTTATCGAGGCTTCTAGGTTTCTGCATCTGGTTGGACAGTGAATAGCAGGTGGCTGTTTTTGGTCACAAAGATTTATCTCCACGTGCACTGGTAGTGTGTTCCAGAAAAATAGTATTTCTATCCATATTTTATAAATGCAGTCATGACTGTGATGCCCTAGAGGAGCACCCAGTTTACAGCATTGAGTTCACAGGCTCATTAAGTAGCAGAGCTCTAGGGTGCCAGGTGATCTTTCTGGAACTCCGTGAGCTATCACAACAAGCACCGAAGCTTGTGCTAAATTAAATACCCATATATACTAGACACTGTGGCGAGAGCTTAGACTAGGAGCCTAACTTTGAATCCTGGCCCAGGCGGTAGTAACAGCTATGTGGTCTTGAGTAAGGTACTTGAACTTCCCTAAGACCGGGTTTCCTCATCTGAAATATAAGAAAATAATGTGTTGACTATCGCCATCATTATCATGACAATAGCTAATGTTTATTCCATGTTTCATAGCTGCCAGACACCATTTAAAGTTCCTTACTTGGATCATCTCATTTAACCCTCAAAACAACTCTATACCAGGAACTATTCTTATCCTTATTTTACAAAGGAGAAATGTGAGGCGCAAAGTTTAAATAAGCTGCCCTGGAACACACAATTAGCGTGCTCCAGAGCGCTAGAACCAATAGGATGTGTATATATAGAGAAAGAGGTTTATTTTTAAAAATTGTTTCACGTGATTGTGGATGCTTGGCGAGTCCAAAATCTGCTGGAAGTGGCTGGCAGACTGAGACCCAGGAAGGAATTGGGAGTTTGAGGCCAAAGGCATTCTGTTGTAGATCCAGGAAGAGCTGGTGTTGCAGATGAAGGCCAAAGGCAGTCTGTTGGAGCAGTCCCTCTTGCTCAGGGAGGTCGGCCTTTTGTTCTATTTGGGCCTTCACCTGATTGGCTGTGGCCCGGCCACATTATGGAGGGCAATCTGCTTTACTCAGAAAGCCACAAATTAAAAAAAAAAAAATTTCTTAACGTGTATTTATTTTTGAGAGTCAGAGAGAGACTGAACACCAGCAGGGGAGGGGCAGAGAGAGAGAGAGGGAGACACAGAATCCGAAGCAGGCTCCAGGCTTTGGGCTGTCAGCACAGAGCCCAACATGGGGCTCGAACCCACAAACCATGAGATAATAATCTGAGCCGAAGTTGGACCCTTAACCGACGGTGCTACCCAGGTGCCCCGAAAGCCCACCAATTTAAATGTTAAAGCTTATCCAAAAACACCCTCACAGAAACATCCAGAATAATGTTTGACCTAGATAAGTTGACACACGAAATTAACCATCACACTGAGCAACAGCGGGTGTAAAAAGTTTGAGAAATGTATGAGGGGGGAGAAAAATCTTAAAATTGAAAACATTCTATCCATCATCTTAATTTGTCTGGGAATTGGGAAGAAGTTACCAATATTCTATGATAGGCACTGAATCCCTTGTCCTAGCTTATAGAACATGGGTCTCTGGAGTTCAATATCTTCTAATGCTAGAGTTCGAAAGAACCTTCAGTCTCCTGTATGTCACCTTCCCTCCCAAGATACTAATGCTGTCTGTGGTAGGTGGGAAAGACAGCACTTGGATACCCCCTTCTGGAGGCTATTTGTTACCGTGTAAAGCAGCATTGCCACTATTAAACAACTTTAATTGTGGAGAAATTCTCCTTTCAATGGACAAAAAAAACCTGCCCCTTGTCCTGCAAAGCTCCAGCTAGTCCATCCGTACCTTTCGCTGTATGAATCCTTATGAAATATCTGAAGTGGCAGTCGTAGTTCCCGGCAAGGGGTCTGCGTTCTGTTGTCAAATAGCTGCGCTGTTGGGATAGATGAGCCCCGTGTGTGCTGCTCATAAATTGGAGTTTTGTGGGGGTTTTTTGTCAGAGGAGTATATTTTAAGTTTTCAGCATGTTAGAGTGAATCAGTGTATCAGATTTTTGAGAGTTGAGGTGGGGATAGTGGTTAAGAATCTTGAGGTAGGGGAGTAGAAGATCTGACACTGACTGCCTTCTGTGTGTATATGTTTGTGTGTGTAAAAATGGGTATATGTGTTATTGTACCTGATACATATTATATATAATCGATCTAATCCTTCCTATAATCCTATGAAGTGGATCTTGTTGGCTGTAATTTTTGGAGAACAAAGTCTAGTGATTTGACAAAGTCTCCCCCTGGTGGAGGGACCAGGAATTGAAACCTTTTGGTCTGACTTCAAAACAGATGCTTGTTTTCTATCAGGCTGAGTTGGGCAAGACTGTTGTAAAGTTCATGAATGCAAAGGAGCTTGGTCTCTGATGCATCTTGATTTTCCATTAGATTAGCCCCCTGTCTGCATCGCTGATATAAGGACATTACTTCTGTGTTCATTATGTTTTATTTCACCTCTGACAGTTACTTGCTGGCCAGAAGAAAAGCTCCCCCTTCTGGACATTTGAATACTATCAAACATTCTTTGACGTAGACACTTACCAGGTTTGTAAACCCGTTTCACCTTTCCTTTTACACGTAGTGGAGACTTGTGTCTTTTGTGGTTAAACAATCACATGATGCGAACGCTTTTATGACTGGCTATGGTCTTACAAAAATAAAGGATCATTCGCATTTGAAAATATCATCGTGAAAGCTGTAAGAAATCTTCACGAAAGCTGTAAGAAATCTTCAGGAGACTTACTGCTATGTTGTTTTCCAGGTCTTTGACAGAATAAAGGGGTCCCTTTTGCCAATACCAGGAAAAAACTTTGTGAGGTTATATATCCGCAGCAATCCAGATCTTTACGGTATGTGTAGAGCTGTTTGGATTCTTTACCACGTACCAGTTGAATTCAGGTGCGCATGAGCGTTGCCTGAAAGGTTGGAGAAATGCACTGTTGGTGGGGCATGCAACATTTCACTCAACTCTTCTGGACATCAGTGACAGCCTTTACAAACAATTTTGGGGGAAATGCAATTCTGTGTTATATGAATGCTGTGATTACAAGTAATGGGCATGTCCTTTGAACGTCTTCAAATGACACTGCGAACCTGAGACGAATTAAGTCACTTTGTCCAAAAGGAGATTGTTGATTTTAACTTGAGAGGATCTGAGGGTGGGGATCAGTGTGGAGAAGGTGCTCTCATACTTACTCATTGCTGTGCTGAGTCCCAGCTCTGCCCTCAGATGAGCTGGCTCCCCTGGGAATTCAGTCAGCAGCACTGGAAGTCTGTAAGAGGGATGGGCCAGGGGGTGACTGCCATTCCTGACCTCCATGCTGTCTGAGGAGAGGTCAGAGGCCCAGCTGGTACTCCTGAAGGGAAAGGGCTCCTATAGCCGTGGCCTTCTGTGTTTGAAAGGAGAAGCGAGCCAGCGGTTCTGGGTGCTTCCTTTGTGCAGATGCGCTACGAAAGACTGGACGTGGGCACGTGTAATTCTTGCAGCCACCTTGGGGGTAGGTATTCTTCTCCCCCTTTCTCAAACAAGGAAGCTGACTCTCAGTGAGGCTCAGTGATGTGTATGCTCGATCCTGAATAAGCATTAGAGTAATATGTTACATATTTTGTACATATGTTGATCATAAGAGGAGAAGGAATTCATGAGGATCTATTGTGTGCTGATGACTGCATACACTTTAATTCTTTCAACAAGACTCTATATTAAGTGTGGTTAGCCCTCTTTTCCTTGTGAGGAAACCAGGGCCGAGAGTTGTCAAACTGAAAAAGCAAGAGCCAGAACTAGTTTGATGTTACGTGAAGCCCATACTCTGTTCGCCTGGTGGTTTTAAGCTACAGAACCTTTTCATCAGCTAGCATGGAGGTCCAATAGTTGGAACCAGTGAAAGTGGAACCACTGTGGGGGAGGCTGGGGAGAGGGTCCCTTCTCTATAGCTCCTCTATCTGGCAGCACTTAAAGTTCCATCCAGATGTCGGCGGAATGCCCGGAGCGCCAGGGAGCGCCACGTGCAAAGCACTGCCTTGGCCCATGCCTCTCGTCTAAATGTTGCCAAGGCAGTTTCTCCTCCTCGCTCTCTTGTTTATTCTTCTAGCCTGAGATCTTGAGAGACAGGCTATGTGTCTGAGTGATTTATGTCATCAGTGCCTGGTGGAGGCCTGGCACAGAGTAAGCACGCAAACAATTTTTGAGCACCTTATTGCGTGCTACAAGCTGAGGATGCAAAGATAAAGTCAGTCTCCACTGCCAGGAAGAAAGAAATGATAGAACTAACATGTGCCGAGTGCCTCACAAGTGCCAAGAGCTCAGCACTGTGTCACTGTTTTATAGTTTTATATCCCACACCCCGAGGTAGGCTTACCTCACAAAAGAGAAAATGGAAGTTTGGGGAGGATGGCTTGCCCATAGTCACAGAGTTAGCATGGAAATGACACTAGCAAATGTACGCAGTGCTTATTATGTGGCCCCGTTATCGGGGAAGAACCTATATTAACTCACTTAATCCTCATAACAACCCGAACTTTATGAGGTAGTTACTATTATTATCCCCGTTGTATGAATAAGGACACTGAGTTACTCAGATGTAATGCATTGTGCCTAAGATCGTATAGCTGAGCACAGTTTTCAAATCAGCACCATAGCTCATAATCCATATTCTTTATTACTCTATTATGCTGCCTCTCCTGATAAAACCAGGATTTGAACCCCAAGTTTGCTTCTTTCCACAACACTGTTAGCCTCATGAGCTCACAGACATGGTTAAAGAAAAAAAAGAGGTACTATATAGGTAAAGTGTTTGATAGTGGAGAGGACTGGGCCTTGTGGGGGAGATTGGAGGAAGGTGGTCGGGGAAAAGATGACAGAAGTGCCAGTCTGCAGAATCAGAGGGTGAGACTGATGAATTTGATTGCATTTAAACTAAAATACAAAATTACTGGGGGAGCCTGAGTGATTCAGTTGGTTAAGTGTCTGACTCTTGATTTCAGCTCAGGTCACGATCTTATGATTTGTGGAATCGAGCCCTGCTTCAGGCTCTGCACTGACAGTGTGGAGAGAGAATCTTCCTTGGGATTCTCTGTCTCCCTCTCTCTTTGCGCCTCTCCCGCTGGTGGGCACGTTCTCTCTTTCTGTCTCTCTCAAAATAAATAAATAAACTTCTTTTTAACTACAAATTTTCTTAACGTTTATTTATTTATGAGGGAGAGAGAGACATAGAGTGAGAGGGGAAGGGCAGAGAGAGAAGGAGACACAGAATTTGAAGCAGGCTTCAGGCTCTGAGCTGTCAGCACAGAGCCCGACGTGGAGCTCGAACTCACGGACCGTGAGATCATGACCTGAGCCGAAGTCAGACGCTTAACTGACTGAGCCACTCACGCACCCCCTAAATAAATAAACTTTAAAAAAAGGAAAAAAAATTTTCTATACCACAAAATAAACATAAGCAAAGTAAATAAATAAGTAAATCAACTACAGACCGGAGATAATATTTGCAATTCTCATTAGCAACAAAGGATGAAAAGCAAGAATATCTTTAGAACTCCTACCATTTATAAGAATAAAACCAGTTATAAGTTTTAGAGGAAAATGAGCAATTCCCAGCAAAGGAAACCCAAATGGCTAACAAATATATGAAAAGATACTTAGCCCCACCTGTAGTCAAGGAAGTAAAAACAAGAGATTATATTATGCTCATTTTAGCAAACATACAAATTGACTTGTCTTCATTCGTTCATTCAATTAATTCAACAAGTATTGAGCACTAAACTATTGCAGGCACTGGAGATATAGTAGTGAGAAAAACAAAAATCCTTGCTCTGAGGCAGTTTAGAATCTACTGAGCTTTATGATAAGTAAAATAAGTCAGATATATAGTATGCTAATGATAAATGCCAAGGTGAAAATTTTAAAGGACAGGAAATACTTGTGTAGGTGGGTGAATTTGAAATTTAAAAAATTTTTAAGAGGTGAATTTTGAGTAAAGGCCTGGAGGAATTGGGAGCAATTCATGTAGATATCTAAGGGGAAGGCATCTGAAGCAGTGAGCACAACAAACACAAAGGCCCTGAGGCAGGAATTTGCTTGGTATGCTCAGAGAACGGCAGAGACTAGTGTGACTGGGCCAGAGGGAAGAAGGGAACCTAGGAGATGAGGACGGAGAGACAACATGGTGGGGTAAGTTGTGTAGCATCTTGGTCACAGTGAGGACTTCAGCTTTTACTTGAGTGAGAAGCCATTGGAGGGTTTGAGCAGAGGAATGACATACCCTTAAGTCAGATTTTCAGAAACATTGATACCAAGAGTTGTCAAGATTGTGCAGCAACGGGAACTAATATGTGTCTAGTGGGTATGTAAGTGGTGCACGAATGGGAGCCATTGGAACATTCTCGTGCCCTACAAATTGGCAGTTGCACTGTATGGTCTAAGAGAAACACACAAATATAAAAGAAGACATATAGAAGAATATTATTCATTGTGGCAACAGTGCTTGTAATAGCAAATATTTGGAAACAAACAAAATATTCATCAGCAGGTGAAGAAATAAGTAAATTGTGGTGTATTCATACACAGAATGCTGTAGTTTTTAAGAATGAATGAGATCTATGAGCATCAATGTGGCTAACTGTCAGAATAAGGATAAATGAAGAAAGGCACGTTTTTGAAGGATGTGAGTAGTATGACCCCATTAGAAGGATTTGAAAAAGTAGCAGGACGGGTACACCAGTGTTTGTTGTATCATTCTTTGTACTTTTCTGTATGTTAGAAATCTTTTATAATATAACAATGCATAATACAAACTAAATTAAGACTCCTTCCCACCCCACCCCATAATAAGAGTAGAAATTGGCAGGAAAGAGGGAAAGAGAAGGTGTATAAAGCAACCTGGCAGGCCCTGGGATGAGTAGGTGGTTGTGTGTCTCTGGAATCCGAGCTTCCTGTTTGCCTTCGGGCACGGGACTCAGCGACTACATCTGTTGTGTGTCACTGTATCCCTCGCACCTGGCCCAGGGTCTAGAGAACAGTGGGTTCTTACAAATAACCTGCGCTGTCAGCACAGAGCCTGATGTGGAGCTCAGTTCCAGACCGTGAGATCATGACCTGAGCTGAAATCAAGAGTCGGTTGCTTCACCGATGGAGCCACCCAGGCACCCCCTCTGCTTTCTAGTTATAGGTTCTATAATATTTTGGCCACTTGTGGTCATATGCTTGGATGGTCTCAGCCCGTTGACAACACATGGTCACTTTTGTTCATTTTTTCAACAAAGCTTTTGGCAATTTTGTAATCATTAAACTGTAGGAATTTTTTTTTTTTTTTTTTGGCCTTGTCTGTTGCATCTTTTATATGGTTGGTATTCAGGATAATACAGTGAACTTGTCCTTGGTGGTAGCAGAGGGCTTGCAGGCTGATGAGTCAAGAGCAGTATGTGGAAAGCCAATAGTGGTGATTCTTTGGAGTATCCCAGTTGATTGCTTGGGCTCTCTTTCCCACCTTCAGGAGCCAGCTTGGCTTTGAGAAGTGCTAACCCATTTCTGCTAGTCATCTCCTGCGACACAGTAATTTTCTGAGTTTTGTGATACGTCACGGTGCCTGCAGTTATGCTAAAAGGTGTTGCAAAGTATTGGTGACATCGAAACATTAAATTCATAACATTTATTAGGAATATCTCAATTTAAAAATGTTCTTTGTTCTACTTTTGTAGTACTTTTTCTAGATAAGGAGAAGCAAGGGTGGTGTTCATGAAATCAAGTGAAATGGAGAAAGGGATTTGCAAAGCATAGTGTACTCATTCACTCAGTGGAATAGTTGATAATCACTGAAAGTAGAATAAGCTGATTTTTTAAAATGTTTATTTTTTTTTGAGAAAGAGAGAAAAAGAGAGAGAGAGAGAGAGAGAGA